TTCATCATCTCAAGTGGATCCCCACCTTTCACGGAATCGCTTGTGTCATGCACACCAGAATTAGGAGGATTACTTTGGCCTCAGGGGAACGGCCTCCAAATAATGGCTTGGCAGCGAAAGTGTTAATAACGCACCTTCAACCCCTGTTTGGAGTCCGATGAGCATAGGTTTCTCGAACGATCTCTGATGTCAGAATATCCGATCACCTCGGCTCCAGTTATGCCACACCGAAGAACGTTTCGCTACTTCGTCATGAGCTGTTGGAAAACTTAATTCCTAGAAAAAATTGTCATAATTACGTTCCTGGATGTGCACTGGTCTAGAAGACAAATATTTACTTATTTAATCATTTTTATTTACAAGTTTCCTCATTTTAGTTGAACCAAATAAACAAAGTGAAAATTTGAAGTAAAAAAAAAACTATTAATCACAAGCTGTTGTTAGGAAGTGCCCCTGTGTCTAAACAAGAAGCAGATTTCAGAAATGAACGTTCCAAAAATTGAACAGTTCCCCATTCTACTCCTTTTGTTACTCAATGCATACTTACCAAAACGGCAAGTATTTCAAGACAGACCAGCGAAGATCAATGGCAAGCGATCAGCTTCAGACTGTGAAAAACATTTCCAGATGGCTTTTCTGCCGACCCAAAGCAGGTCTAAAGAGGTCACATTTTCTGACATCTCAACACTTTTTGAGGTCATCGGCTAAGCCTTCCCAAAGGATGATACCCAAGCAACTTTCACCCATTTAACTTGCTTAAGAGGAAAATATAACAAATTCCAGTGGTGCTCCAAGCTACAACGGATTGTTTGTTTTTGTTCTCTTTGGTTGTAAAGATTTGGTCATTTAATAAAAAAGATTATTTAATTTATTATTTTCTCCAGGTTTTTGCAGCACCCAGTATTTTCCGATATTTCTGATTGAATAAGGGTATTTTTTAGAATTTAGTGAAAAACACTCGGCAGTGTATTAAAGTGAGATGCTGAGTACTGTAAATTTACAGGGCAAAAAGTTGCACATGCGCGCAAATTTGACAATGGCTACAAAAAGACACAAATTATGGATCATGCGATACCAATCCGCCTGATATTTCAACGAATGTTTCCTGACTAAGGCGGTGCTGGGCACTTCACCAATAAAGGGCGGATGAGACTCTCGACAGTCCAACGGCCGTGGTGCCCCATGGATCAGAGGATCACCATGTGCACCCAGTGCAACAGGTGCCTGTGGCCTATGCGCCTCACCTGCCAGGTCCTCACACTCATGGAAGCATGATGATGCCACAACTAAGGAAAATTCATACTGGCTCGGCCGTCGCCCAGGATAAAAAGGGCCGCGCTAGCTGCAGGTCTACCGGTGAAGTCAGTGAAAAGTTGGTGTCCGGAGGCTCTCACGTTCCTGTTCCTCACCAGGCAGAAGTGGGAGTAAGGGCTACTGGTGAAAGACCCAGCTCAGTCCCAGGGGCCGGGGTTGACAGTCGACCCTCCTCTGCTACAGAAAATATGCCCCCCTTTGCGCGCATGTGCAACTTTTTGCCCTGTAAATTTACAGTACTCAGCATCTCACTTTAATACACTGCCGAGTGTTTTTCACTAAATTCTAAAAAATACCCTTATTCAATCAGAAATATCGGAAAATATGCCCCCCGCACGGAAACGTATGAAGTGGACCAAATCCATGAACATTGACGTCATGCGGGTTTACTATCGAGCACGATCCGATGCGCCAGGAGCGTACCGGAAGAAAATGCTCGAGCTCTGGAATCGATCTTACTCAGAGCTGAATATCAACGAGCAACGACTTGCGAATCAGAGAATCTATATCGAGCAGAACAACATGCTTTCAGAACTGGAGCGGGAAAAATTCAAACAGGAAATCCTGAACACCCTCCAGCCAGACAAACCAGAATGTAGTATACCCGAAAACGAGGAGACAAAACCTGAAGGAACTCCACTTCAGGTTCCACCAAGGGAAATTGAGGCTCCATCAGAGCTAGAAGCGCCCTTTGAAGAACTAAGAATCGCCTTCCTCGATCATCTGGAAGATCTGCGGTACCTACAGATGTCCGACCGACCCCGACTAAGATCTCTGAAGATCTGACCTTGCCATCTCCAAAAACATCGAGATCAACCAGATCATCAGCTCCTGCGACCTTGCAGACTGCGATCTGACTGAGCTGAACTACCGTGCCTTTGCAGCTGCCATTACGATCCATCAGAAGTGGCAAGGACCAGAAAAGCCGACCCCGAAATCCGGGAAGGGCCCTTCCTCGATTCCACCTTGGAAGAGACGCCTCCAAAGTCGGATCTATGCAGCAAGGCGAGACCTTAGCACCCTTCAAGAGATCAAGAAGGGGACACATCCCGGAAAGTGAAACTGACCTACAAGCGGCTGTGCCCCAAGTACAAGATCACCTCCGATGCCGATCTCTGACCGCCATAGAGAACGTAAAGATGAAAATCCAAGCTTGGGCCCTGAGGATAAGGCGGTACACGAAAAAAGGTCAATTACTTCCGGCATAACGAGCGCTTTACGAATAACCAGAAGCTTTTCTACCGGGAACTGGGGCGAAACCCAGAGAAATGAAGAAGATTCCTGGCAAGGCGGAAGTGGAAGAATTCTGGTCGAACATCATGGAACGCCCTGCGAGCCACAACGCCGATGCCACATGGATCCGACGTCAGAGGGAGCTAACAGATACAGGGTGACACAAAAGTCCTTGGACACTTTTAATCAAGTGTAGTATTCTCTGATGAAGACCAATTTAATTTCTGATTTGACCAGTGCAAAGATCACAAAAAACTAAACCAACCATGCTTTTATGTTTCAAAAATATCACCATTTGAGGCAATAACCTGCTTCAGACGTTTTGGGAAATCATTTACGGTTCTTCACAACTGATCAATCGACAATTCCTTCCATTCCTTCATCAGATCAAGCTTCAAGCTATTGATATTCTTGTGTGGCTTGCAGCAGACCTTGGCCTGCAAGTTGGACCACACACTATAATCCAATGGATTCAAATGAGGACTACTAGCAGGCCATTCTTCTGGGGAAATCAAGTCTGGAAAGTGAGTTCTGCAGAAGTCGATGGTGGATTTTTCCTTGTGAGCTGGTGCCGAGTCCTGCTGGAATGTCCAAGGCTGGGATTTAAAATGTTCCTGAGTCCAGGGGAGTAGCACCTTCTTCAACACACTCTTGATAGTAGCTGGCATTGCTCTTGGCCTGAGGCTGCACAAAATGCAGGGGTGTTTTGCCAGAAGCACAAACACCACTCCACACCATCACACTACCCGGTTTTTGAACTCGATGGACATATTGCTGGTGAGACTTGAAAGAGGAAAACTTTTTACCCCAAAGGCGATTGTTTTGGGGGTTGTAAGCTTGCTCTACAGTGAACATTTCTTGTCAGAAAAAAAAAACCATCTTTTGCAGTGAGGACTGGTTAAACCGTTTGAGCAACTGGCGGGACCTTTGTACTTGTTTCTTCTTGTTGATCTCTGTAACCAGCTGCACCTTTTGTTTTTTAAAAGGCTTCATGCAGAGCTTTCCCCTGATGTATCTTCGCAAGGTCTCTTGGTCCACTCTCAAGGTTTGCGCAAGCTTTCTTCCAGAATGCTCTGGATTTCGGTATGGCATTTGCCTGACTCGTTTCTGGAGCTTCTCATCCTGGAACACGGAAGGACGTCCACTTATCTGGCGATCTGCTGCTGATCCAAGCTCATTGTATCGCCGAATAATGCTGTAGATAGTAGATCGAGGGGTTTGGGTGAGCTTTGAGATCCTGCTTGCTGGAAGACTACTCTGGTTTTGAAAAATCACTGCTTCTCTTTGATGTTTGGGAACCATATCAAGAGCTGTCGATCATTCTATCGTTATCGACTATTCCATTATTATTATTATTATTATTATTCAAGTACGAAGTGGACTCATCTGCGTACATCAGCCAATGCAATGGGTTGCTCGGCATAAAACAGGAGGCTTCGTATTTAAGGAATTTTTAATTGTAGTGGGATGCATTCCCCCATTGCCTAGATTGGTTTGGGTGGGACAGGCACCATTGGTATTTCCTTTTCACTATCTATGCGCCTTGGTGGGAAGCAGGCCACTGCCCTACCATGTAATCACTTAAAAAGCTGTTCTTTATTAAACATAGGACTCAACATTATTATATACATATATATATATATAGATTGAATTCAAGTAAAACAGTGACGCCCTCCCTAGCAATAGCCACCCAAGGTAACAGGCAGGCTATGACCGGCTCCTAGCCCAGAAGAAGAGGAAGAGGAGCGGTTTTCACTGCCCATTTGGGTATTCGCTAATTAAGCCAACCTTTTTACCTTACCTTACCTTACCTATATATATATATATTTTTTTTTTTTAGCAAAACCCAGTATTGGGGGAAGTTTTGTTGCATCCATTCTTGATACCAAAGACCTCTTCAGGTAGATAATGACATCTTGTTGATTCATGAAAAAGAGCATATTTAGTCCATTTTCACCTGCATCAATACATGTAGGAATGACTGTCATGTTGGCTGGCCTCAGAAGGGATTGTTTGATCCCCATCAAGTTAAATGGAAAGACACTGAAAAAATACATATTGCTGAAGTCTACTCATCACAGATGTGCAAAAATGATGGGAAACTTTGGTCATTCTAGAAGAGTCTGGGTTGAGGATTCACTTGGGTGCTGATTTTTTGCAAAGCAGAGATGAACTTGATCCTGTAATTGAACTTGGTACTCAATTCAATTATTGACACCAACATTACAACAGCTATGTGGGATTGGGTTTTCAACCTTGGTTTTAGCTCAACATTGGACTTATTATATAGCAATGCATTGCCCTAGATTTCAGCTATGTTTTCTTTCAGGTTGGTGCATTCAGACAGGGAATCCATTCCAGATGTCCCAGCAGTTTATTTCCTCATGCCAACAGAGGAGAATATTCAGAGGATCTCCCAAGATTTTCAGAATGGCCTTTATGATTCATATTTTCTCAACTTCATTTCTCCAATTTCTCGCCAGAAACTAGAAGACCTGGCAAGTTCAGCATTATCATTTGGCTGTGTGCCTACTATCAGCAAGGTATGTATGCCTTTGATGCTTTCTCTGCTTTGTTGAGTTAGGTTTAATATTCACATTATACACTTGCTATGAGTATAAACTGTCATGAATAGGCAGAGCCAGAGAACTTGACTCAATGTCAGACTGGAGACACTTTCTACTAGACATGGATTTGGCCTCAGCTCCAGAAAGCTTATACACGGTCTGGACTAGGACTTGTCAAATGAGAACTTTGACTGAAGCCTGGTGTAGGCAATATTTTCAGAATTGAAGGCTGCGATTACTGCTTTAATTGTGAAAGTGTGGTTATGCACGTGGGATTTATAATCTTCAAATATATCAGCAAGTGTAGACTTAGCAGATTTTTATTATAGAAAATGTCATACAGTGTTTTTGAATTGAATTCGTACCTCCCTCCCAATGGTGGAAGGAGGAGTCACAACTTCTTGATCCATGAAACCATGCTTGTGGATGGTGTCACAATTGATGCAAGATGCAATTGATAGAAGTGCTCTTATGGGGGGAAGATATGAATTCAATCTGAAAGCTGTATTTTCCTTCATAAATTAAATTAAATCTACCAACCAGAAGCCATAGCCTCTTCGGAGGTGACTTCTAATTGGTGTATTGGTTTTATATTTGAGCACTGTTATGCTGCATCCTCATTGGATGCTGAGTAATGGCTGATTGGAAAGGTATAATTATTACAAGAGAGAGTCCCTTCTAGTGCAGGATGCTGCTGCAATGTGAACTGTGAACATGTTACTTGAAGGATAAATATATATGTTATGTGTATATAGCTGAGTACATCTGAAATGATATATTGATAGATTTCATGAACGAGTCAATTGGGAAAATGCCAATTTTTCTTTGTCCTCCCATTTGATGGTGAAAATATTTTAAACAAATGATGTTTGGAATAAGATTGATTTCAATCTTGATTCTGTCTACTTTTGCAGATTTTTGATCAGTACCTGAACTTCATCTCAATAGAAGATGACCTCTTCATCTTGAAGCATCAGAGCAGTGATGACATCTCTTTTTATGGTGTGTTCTCAAAATGGTTTCCATGAAGCTTGAATGAGCTTTCATTTGTGTCATGCATGATGTTCCTGTCAATAATTATAAGAAGTCTAACTGAATTTACAGCAGGAATAAAAAGGATCAAGAACTATATTCAGTAGGTTAAGGCTTATAGACACCATAAGAAGGGGAAGACAAGTCCAATGTGAGGCACCTTGTGTGAGGTACACTGTTTCTGGATTGAATTTGTACCACCCCCCTACGGTGGAGAATGGAGAAAACACAATTTTCAGAGGTTCAGCTTCAGCAGGTGATAGGCAAAGCTATCCATGTGTAAGATGTTACTATCTGGAAGCGATGGTTATGAATTCGATCTGGAAACAGTGTAATGGTCTTGGTTTGTCATGGCAGGAGTAATTTCACCATCATTCAGTCTGACCTTGCAGTATACTTACTAGTGGTTTTGTGATGCATTTAGGCCTTGGCCTTTCTTTTACTTTCAAATAGGCCTTGACCCCCATGCACTGCTTATGGTTGTAGCTTAGGCTGCCTCTCAGGTAATGTTTTGCAAGTATAACTGACCTGCTGTGAAGCTTGTAAATTGCACCAAAGAAATTTTTGTGGTACTCAAACCTTCAGCTCATGTCCTGAGCAAGGCATTGAGCATGGAAAACTATCAGCTATAAACACTGCTGCTGTATTTGTATTAATAAGCAACATTTGATGCAGATGCAACTAAAATTAGCTCAGCTATCCCAGCATTGAACTTTCAAAAACTCGAACAAAATACAAGAATGCAATGATTCAGAAAAGGAAGTGATAGTGATATGAACCTTTGGAAGTTGACAACTTTGCAGGATCCTCCTCAAGAGCATAGCCCTGATCAAAATTCAGTGCAACTAGGTCTTTTTGGAAACTCCCCAAGAGGTAAGTGAAGTTAGGTGTCAAATTAATTGACTGCTGGTTACATTCACAACTTAACCTGACCTCACAACTGCTGCAAATGCAGTCCCCATTGGCTGAAAAAAAACTCAACCTCATGTAACCTTGGAGTAAGCTCTGGGTAAACATTTTTTTAGCTTGGGCAGAAATCTTCCTTATTTGCCTGAGATATACACAGGAAAACATTCAATTCACATAATAATCTGCTTGTTTTATTAAAATGAACTGGCAATTTTTTAGAGACACAGTGCAGATGAGTATGTCAGGGTAGGTTTCACTGGGTGATTGGGTGATGACTTTTGATTGTTGAGTTTCTAAGCTTTCTGATAATTTTTATTATTTGATTTACTCATCATTAGAGAGGGGATTTACATACCAATAATGGTATGTAAATCCCCTCTCCAATGATGAGTAGATACATGCAACTGACTTATTATGATGTATAAAAAATAAAATTATACTAGTTCAAATATAATTTCCATGATTACAGGATTTCTACAGTTTTGAATATGAAGGCAGGGTAAGTGAAGTCTGCATGTTTCCCAGCTTGTTCATTGCTGATTGCATTCAGCAACAGTCATCTGCATTCAGCAACAGTCATCCTTTGTATACCAAAGCATCAAGCCAATGATTTGAGGGATTTAACAGCAGCACAAGATTGTAAAATGTGAATTTTCATAATCATCATGCTGCTGCCAATTCATATTTAGCTGACTACAGTTAGAAAGTTCATAAACTTTTGCAGGTTTTCATTTCAGCAATCAATCGAGGGGACATCAAAGACACGGAGATGGATATCATCATGGACTCAATTGTTGACAGTCTCTTCTCTGTCTTTGTGACTTCTGGTAAGTTTGTCCAGAGTTTAGACATTAGCTGTTCTTTCAGTAGTATGAACATTAATGGATGTAAAAATTAGAGCTGTTCAACCCATGAAGAACCTAATACCCTACACTAATGAAGATACAAAAGATAGAAATATTCATTTGTCATGTGTCATAAATGAAGTAAGGGTGCCAATCCTGGTATTCAGCATCAATAGGAAAAAAACGCCAATGTCCACTTTTCTGTTTTTTCTTCTCATCTGTTGAGCAGAAACACTAGCAGAGGGCATATGCTTGAAGAAAGAAGGTTTGTTCTAAGACTTTCTAATTTCTAGTTGTTCATATCCTACCTGCTTTCCTAAAACTTTAAATGAATATTTTGCACTGAAGCAGGTCAAGAATGATAACTTTTCAAATAATGTCATATTTTCATGTCAGTCATGAAAATATTGTCATGCATCCTTATTATGCCATTCAATTGAAAGCAAGAAGATTAGGTCATTTCAACCCAAATAGATGGATTCAATAGGTGTGCCCAGGAATATACTGCAGTTAGAGTTGCTGGGAGGACTCAAGTTATGGATCTTAGAAAAAGAAGCATCATAGAAGAGAAACCATCTTATTGTTCATGGCTGCATGTTTCATATTGGCATCGAGTGCTCAGGTTCACTGAGCAGAGGACACAGTCAGGATGCAAGTGTACCTACAAACGACAAATCTTGGTCCTTGACTCCAGATTAAATACACCTTGGTGACTTCCAGGAAGGTTTGAATTTTTCCTTGGCGGTGGGCATCACAGTGGATGGAGATTGGAAATATAGTTAACAAAATTATTTTAATCAAAAAATTGCTCTTTGAATAGCACCATGGCAGTGGTATGATGAGAAGCAGTGTCCTATGGTTTCCATATCATGGCAACAGTATGAACATTGGCTGTATTCCACTGTTTTGATACTATGGCAATAATACTGAAAAATGTAGAAGGGGTCAGTATGATTGTCATGAGAACTGAATGCAGTGGTATGATGAAAATATCAGTATACCAAAATGCCCTAGTTGGCATTCTATGATGTTGACTGTTAGGCAGTTCTTGGCTGGAGAAGCAAAGTTTTTTGCTACTCTGGATGGTGGTATTAGTTCAGAGTTTGATCTGTGAAATTGCTGAATAAATTATAGAGCTTTTTTGTTCCACCCTGACTCTAAAGATTCCAGGTCATCTATTGTTACTTTTCCTTTTTCATTCTAACTTATTAAATTCACTGGAAAAAGAGAAATTGTATATTTCACACACACATTATTAACACAGACAAAATGGAGGCATCATAATTTTAATACGAGGGGAGGTGCAAAAGTTGTGAGGCTTGTGCTTTTATTGTCTTTCTTTTGACAAATGTATCCACAGATGGGGAAAATGTTTATTGAGGCAGGGAGACTACATTGAGAATAAAGAAATGTGGACAGGACTTTATTTACACAAAGGTATAAATAAAGTCTGCATAATCTCTCTAATTTTGCACCTCCCTTCATACATTTTGAGAACTTCAGAGGGGACTCCATGTCATTTCAGATGATAGAGAGTAAACATAAGATGACATTTCACTTTCTTCTGACTGTGACAGATATGATGGTTGAACATGAGCGATGAAGACATCCAGAGGGCAAGTAATTCCCTGTGCTGGACTTCAGGGATTGTTTCACCATTCACTAGTGGCTTTGGAAGGGTGGCTGTGATGTGCTTGTTCTTAGAGAAGTCAAAATCAGTTTCCATGCCTTTTGAAGATTTCAGGCAACAGGAGTTTTCTTTTGACAATTCAGTGATTTTGCTCATATTTGTCTGATAGGCCTCAAAGTCTGCTGGACTTTGAGTGGACTGCAGTTAGGTGGTACTGTCCATAAACTTTACCAGGAGGGCATTCCCCTGATTAGCTCTGAGGTTGTTGGTGTTGACAGCAAACAGGAATGGGGAGGATATTGCTTCTTGAAGTATGGTTGAGTGAATTTGAGATTCCCTATATCATGATAGTGGGTTCTCTTACTCAGAAAGCTCCAGAATCAGTGTTGGTTTAGAAATTGGGTTCAGAAATTCTTGGGATTATTCTCCAAAGCAGAACAGGAAACAGTATCAAAAGCTGCACTGTAGACATTTGGTTCATTTCTCTGCCAATGAAGTCAATGATATGGAGATGGGCAGTCATAGACTTGCTGGTGGCATGAGGGTGCTGATTTGAGTCAAGTCTTTATGGCTTCAAAGAGGGAGGAGTACACAATTTTTTTGCATACCTTTCCAACCACACTTGTCAAACTGATCAGATTTTCTGATCAGTCTTTGAATTTGTTGGGACTGATACCTTTGGGATTGGTGTCAGATATGTATACTTCCAGGTGGTAGTTGCCACTGTCCATAGAGTGCTGCAATGGGTGAGGAAGGACAGGTGGTAGGCTTTAGGCACAGGACATAAAGATGACCACAGGGTTGTCATCTGGTTCCATGGCAGTCTTTGTTTTCAGTCCACACAGGATTTTATGAACTTGTGATGTGACTTGGACAGGTTGTGCTCAGTTGGTGCTTCATGCTTGTATGACAAAGAGATCAGGAGATGGAAGGATCCAGATGGACATATGCTGTTTTCTTGTGCACTCCTCATAATCTTTATTTTTTTAAAGTTATATTTCTCTGTTAATTTCTCCATTAGCTTTCATATAGTACTTTAAAATGTCAAGTGGCAGCTGCTCATGACCTTGGGTTCCATTAAGCTAAGACAGAGTAGGTGGGACTCACCAGTTGGGGCCTTCCAAGAAGGCAGCAAAAAAGTACATTTGTTTTTAACAATTAAAGGATGAATGCATTTAATCTTTCATAAGTATTTATTCCTTTAAATGGGCTACATTGATGCCCATCTTCCTTTTTGCAATGCTTTTCATAATACATCTTATGGCTAAAAAAAATCAGGACTGGGCAATGATATTCTATGAAGTGGTATTCTAATAAGTGGAGTTGATTGTAATGATTTGTTTGGCTTTTGAGGGGCTGTACCAATCATACGATGCCCAAGAGGAAATGCAGCTGAGATGGTGGCAGAAAAGCTAGACAAGAAGTTACGTGAGAACCTGAGGAATTCCAGAAATAGCCTCTTTAATGCTGATACTCTTCACTCAGGGCAGCTGAGGTAAGTCTGAACCTAATTCTTGCTTGAGTCAGATTTTTACATGAATGCACCATAGAGCATGCAGCAAGCTGATGCCATGAGTCCCTTCTTGGAAGGACTCTACTTGCAGAATTTGTGAAATGGTATGTAGCATTTTCATGGTGTATGATTTTGCCTAGAGCCTGTAATTATGGATGATGCTGTCAAATGGCCAGACACAGTTTCCAGATGGGAATTACCTATTACTGCAATGTAGTACTGGGAATTCTTATGATACTGTCAGGTCATCTGACAGCATCTTTCACAACTTCCAGCTCAGGGCAAACTCATTCTCCAAGAAAGCATCACATGCCTGCCACTTGACAAATCATGTTGATGTACTCCTTCCAAGATGGGCCTTGAAGGTCATTGAACATCCACCATACTCTGATCAGGACCCTTGTGACTGACCTGATTTCACAACTGAAAGATCTCCATTGCCATCGTTTCTGGGTGCTTAACCTTATGGCCATAGCAGTGAATACAGTGGTAACAGACATCAATCAACCTGCTAGTCCTAATGGCTTAGTATGATTGCCACTCTGGAGGGCTGTCATGAAAATTTTGGAGACTAATTTTATGGTGGCACAACTGTAAATGTTCATTTTCAAATAATTGGCACAATAAAAATTAGTTCTAAAGACTTCTGAAATGACCCTTATGGTGCCATGTTATGTAAGTTGCCAATGTTTTTATGGTTTTAACCTTGGGCAAGATGTCCATGCATATAGGAGCACTGTTATAATTGTATGAGCCAAAATATGAAATATGTATAGGGTCATATATTTTCATCCATATGTATTGTACAAGGGCTGTTCAAATGAAAGATTACACTGAATACACATGAAATTAGTGCATTCACAGTGGTATGAAATATATCTATTTTTCAATGTAATCTCCATGAATATTTAGGCTCATCCTAGCTACATCCCATTATGCTTTGAGGTTCTGAATTTCTGCTGCATAGAAACTTCTTGGTTGATGTCGAAGCCACTGCAGGACAGATACCTTATCTTTGTCCTCTGACTTGAAATGCCAACCACCAAGAGCCTTCTTGAGGTGTCCAAAAAGATGTAATCCCTGCATGCAAGGTCATATTGCCACCATTTTGTATTATACACTGTTTCAACTGGTGAAGCCACTCCTGACTGACATTTCTCAGCATGGTCAGGGTCACTGTCCTGGATCATCATAAAGCATAATTGCATAGCAAGAAATATGATAATGTTCAGACAAATTCTGAAGTTATGCCCAACTTTCTCTATGTGCTTAATGATAAAAAAAAATAGCTTAATTTTGCTTTTAAATCAACCAGTTTGTTTACTTCAATATGTTTTTTAAAATTTAGTGTAAGACTACATTTATCAACTTCATGAGTATCTATGCAAGTATTTGTACATTGAGGTCTCACAAGGCCATTTAAATTCTGGCCATGAGCACACATTTACATATCAATTTTGTAAAGGTTAAGGAAGTTTTTTTTGCAGGAACTCTAAAAAATGTGGAGGAAAATTGAGCCAACTTTCAAGGTCATAGGATGAGGTGATGGAGAGAAAACTTGTCAAATACCTCTTTAATGAAGGACGAGGTCAGTGTTGTAACACCAGTTTTTCTTTTTCTCTATAGCCCCCTTGCTATTGGGGCTATTGCTGAGTGTTGTGAAGCCATGCCTAAGCAAAGTCTCAGAAGGCAGTTTCATCAACTTGTTTAAGTGCTTGAACAGCATTGACTCTTACGCAAGCTGATGCATCAGCATGATACATTCATCTAGTTTTTGTGAACTAAGTACCCATTTGTTGATCAAATGCTCTGGCAAGCTAGTGAATTTGACCTTGAAACTGTTTGCTCTTCATATGCATCTTTTAGAGTGCCTTTTCCATGTTTCATTTTTATAAACTCCTTCTGGGTGATTTTTTTGGACAATTAATGTGATCCCCACTCTCTCTTTAAATTAGAGTGTTTGGCAATTTTCCTCTGTGAAAATTCATCCTACACCCCTGAAACTCCAATTTGTTTCTTTACAACATCACAAGCTCATGTGCAAAATATCATGAAGGGCACTTGAACTCAACTCCTATCTGGTGTTGTTTTTTTGGGCAATGAGCATATTTCATAGTGGAAACTTCCATTTTTCATGGTTAAAGGGAATATGATTGCTATTATCTATAATTATAGTTACCATCACCAGGAGAGAGAGTGCAAAAAATGCAGAGATTTGATTTATAGTTTCCAGAGACCTCTGCTGGTGCTGTTGGATAGAACAGTTGACCTGGCAACTCCACTGCACCACACGTGGACGTATCAAGCTCTGGCCCATGATGTTCTAGATCTTGCCCTTAATCGGGTCACCTTGGCAGAAGACTATGCACATGCAGCCAGTGATCATTCTCGACCAAAGAAGAAGACAAAGTCCTATGATCTCAATCCCTCTGATCGTTTTTGGAGTCTCCACAAGGGCAGGTGAGGGCAGACTTATCCTTCCGGTTTGGGTCTCTTCATTTATGATTCAAAAAGAGTCAGTGTCTGCTGGATGCTTACTTCCTCACCCCACCTTCAGGGCTTTACTGAGTGTCCCAAAAGAAAAGTTCCCCAAGTTTTCCTGCCTACAGAAAATTTTTCAAATGAAATATTGACAGGGACTCTTGTCCAACATTTGCTTGTTTTCATGAAAATTTTCAATGTATTGGGTCAATTGGAAAGTTCTGGCCGTTTTGAGAACATTCCATATAACCTAGTTTTTTAAAAAAAGCAAAAAAGTTCATTCAACTTAGTAATCGCCATCACAGTCAATCACCTTCTCCCAACGATCAGGCAGACTCCTGATTCCATCCCTGTAGAACTGAGCTGGCTGTGAGTCGAAAAAAATCAGTCATCCAGTTTTCAACCTCGGTGTCATTGTTGAACCTTTTCTGGCAAAGATGGTCGTCCAGAGTGCGGAAGAGATGGTAGTCGGTTGGTGCCAGATCTGGGCTATACGGAGGGTGAGGCAGAACCTCCCAGCCCAGATCCAGCAGTTTCTGCCATGTGATCTTCGCGACATGCTGCCTTGCATCATCTTGCAGGAATTGAACACAATGGTGCCCTGGCCTCACCATGCGGAGTTTGTCGGCAAGCTTCTGCAGCCGATCTCAGTATTAGGCGGCGGTGATGCTGGTATCGGGTGCAGGGTCTTCGGCTCAAAGTAGATCACACCTTGCACATCCCACCAAATGCACAACATGACTTTTCAGGGATGCAGCTCACCTTTTGGCTCCAGCTCTGGCTTGGCATTGGCATTGACCCACTGGCATCTGCATCAGTAGTTGATATACAGCATCCACTTTTTGTCTCCAGTGGCTACAGAATCCAGCCAGTCGTTTGTTCACTCATATATTTTTTGCTTTATATACTGCTACTGTGGAAGGTTTGAGAAAGTTCCAGAAATTTTTTTTCTGGAAAATTCTCGAAACAGCAGGAACTTTCCGATCGACCCTATAATTGATTGTTGCAAATCAAAGCTGCTTCCCGTGCATCATCAAATGACCAGGTGTCATGCATGTGAAACCAATCTGCTTCCTCAAAAGACAGGCATTCTCACTCATTTGACATCATGTAGGAAAAATTATTTCTCAAGTATCCCACTTATTGATGTAACCTACATTGATGTCAAAATATGGCCATGTATATGACATATATTCTTATATGAATATTTTGTACAGCATATGTCATGCATGACTCATGCAGGCTTCATATCTTAGTTTATACTGTTGTACCATATTTTGCCAACATATGCCAATGTCATCCCTAAAACCATACATGCCTATTGATGGTAAGAATACATGTAGCATACCTGTAACTTATGAGGATCCAGAATGCATCATGTATAAGAATGTATAGAATGCATCACTCATGTCAGTAGCCACATCATAGTTTTTTCATTTCTAATTTTTGCATTTTCAATTACTTTGTTCACAGCATTCAGTCATCGTGGAGGTAAAACTAGAGTTTTGAGTTCAATCACCCTTGCTGTAGCTGCAACAACTTTGGTCAGCTGATTTGATTAAAAAATCTATTATGTATAAGCCAATGGCTCATAAAGAGGATAGAGTATGTTGGTAAATAAGTGAATAAATGTGAGGTATCTTATTGTAGGTGAGGTATTAATTGAAGTGCTCATTATAGAAGTGATTAATTAGCTAGAATTACATGCATTGATATGCAATAATAATAATGACAAATGTGCACTTTTTACTGGCAGCCAGACTTGTGTAGATGTTAACATGTGGAATCATACAAGGGTCATGCCAGAAGTCATTGCAACTAATTTTTATGAAGGATGAACTGTTGTGAATTTTTTTTTTCCAATTTCTGATCTGAAATCATATTTCTTCATCTGATATGGCTGATTCTGATACAACTTTGGTCTATCTGGTACCAAATTTTCACTGAATATAAGGAATAATATTTAAAAAATTGAATATTTTTCTTGCCTTATCTCAGTCATTAATGCTGAGCATCACATTTTCTCATAATTGAAAAATAGCCAAAATTCTATTCAACCTGTATTTTTTGTTAAAATTTTAAACAAATCCTCAAAGTGCTCATCTCTGGGTGTTTTGCAGAGTTGGTTTTCTTTGACATTTCAAGTCAACCTTAGTCAACAATAGCAGTCTTAGCAGGAGTTTTGTAAAATTGACTATAGTCAACTTTGGCAATGATTGCATTAATATTTTGCCTTTTAAATTGCTGTGGGAAATTTTTTATTCAGTTGGTCTTTCAGCATAACATTTTTTTTAGTCATCTTGTAGATGCAGCAAAAATCTGTCAAACAGTCAAACTGATGAATGATTTCCATGTTATAGAATGAATATGCATGTCTTCTTGTTTAGCTTCTCACTTGTCATATATGACTGTTCTAAAAAAAAATCCCATTTATTTGTGTTTTAAGCCCATTCCCAACAGTGGCATCATCAGTACAGGAAGAGCTGGACCATTACAGGGCTTGTGAGGACCAGGTGAAACATCTCAAGTCTGCCATGGTGAGTCTTCTCAATTGAAGCCTTTGTTCTCCAATAAGTGTTTCAATTCCTGCATATCATTATCTGACATTGTAACACTGATTATTTTTGTTTTCTGAGAAATACAAATATTATTATTATTCAAGTCTAACATGCATAGAATGGTATAATAAAAAAATAAAAAAACAAACCTCTACTTTTATTAATTCCTGTAAAATTAGCTAGCAAATTAAGCAAGTAACATCCATGCCACATTATACCCAAGGATACATGATGGAGTGAATCAAATGCACCGGACAAAAGAATGTGAAGGTGCACTATTCGCAAAATTTTGCTGGCTCTCCAGTATCAAAATGTGTATGTATCCACTCTAGATTCAGCTACCAATTCCAATCCCAGAACTTGCCCCCTTTTTGGCTTGTGATAATAGTTTGATCATGTTTAATCAGAAAAACTCTAATCACTCATGTTCATGATCTTGCATGGTTTCAAGTTTTTCTTCCCCCTTATGTGCTTCTATATTGCATATTTTACCTGGAATTTTATATTCTGATATATAGTGTCTCACATAGAATTACATATCCAGTCAAAGTAAAAGTTGTTATCTAGACCCCTTTCAGGAGTTCTCCTGGTCATAGTTTGTGCAATTTAACCCTATTCTTATTTTCTTTCAAAATGGCATACAAGAGCAAGATAATTTATTTTATTGACTGATTGCCAGCATTTAGATTTTTATGAGTAGGTAAAACCTACTCATGAACAAGTCTATGAAAATCAGAAACAATTCTGTAAAAGAGAACTCAAACAATTTTTCATGTTGACTTCATTGTACCTTCTGTGAATTTAACAGATGATAGGGCATCAATTAAGCCTAAAAATGTTTGCCAAATTGCTGGTGACTTCCATGAACTGTTTTAAATGTATCAGTAAATGTATAATTTTTATGTGCAATTTCACCATTGTTATTACTAATTTTGGCTCACTTGGAATTTGGTTGATTTTCTCCATCTGCCATCTTGGAGCTGGTCTTCTTACAGCTTACAGATTTATTTTTGGAATTCACACTTGGCATAAATGTTTAAATATATCAACCCAGCAAACAATTTGAAACACATAATGTTGAATCAGTGTTGAATCAACATTGAATGAACGTTCAGAACGTTGATCCAACGTTAATCCAACGTTACCTTGTTTTCTGGGAATAAATTCATATGAAACAAGCAGAATTTGCAAAGTTGAATGCAACCCATATTTAATATCCTGAAGAAAAAAAAACCTGAATGGTCATAAATGAGGCAATGCAATGCAGGGAAATTAAACACCCATTACTTCATGTGATAATCAATCAGACATTCATATTCTGGGTCAAGCACAGATAATAACATGTGGAGCAAAAGATGCTAGTTTTATCAGTATTGGATATCAACCAGCTTGATTAGCCAATACTCCCAAGAATCAGCCAATGATCATTCCATATCACTGCATCTTTAATATAACTGAACAAGTCTGGGATTGCCTGAGGATTTGCTCATTTGTACTTTGAGTGAAAAGTCTTACCCACCTTTTGGAATGTTGATAACTTTTGAATGCTGTAAACAATTGAGATCCAGTTTAGACCATTTGAAAGACAAGAAAATCCTGTCAAGAGAATTGTTTTGATAGTATTTAGGTAATCTTTTTATTTTTTCAGAGTGACAAAGTAGATTCTTTTTTTTTTTAAACCTGTCACATTTTTAAACATGTTTGGGTACTGTCATAATGATACCAATTGAAAAATATGTGAGGGAAATGACAGAAATGCCTGGCTATCTTTCATATTTAACAAATATTCAACTTTATTCTGAATTTGACCAGAACAAAATGGGAACTGCATGACAATACAAGAAAAATTTGCCAGAGTTCCAGAATTTGCCAGAATTTCAGCTACATGTTGATCTGTGTCAATTTGAATATTGACACTCTGGGAACAGTAGCAAGCCTGTCTACTTGAATGTCCACAAAATTGGTTGCTCTGAAGGAAAACTTGAATTGATAGCAGGAAGATTAATCACTGGTTTTGAAAGTTGACATGGTCTGTTGCAGTAGGGACCATTATTCTTTGGTCTAACAAAATTTTATAGAAGTCAATCTTGCAATTTTGAAGTAGTATTTTTTTAAATGCAGTGGAAAGTGCCACATTGCAATCTGATGTCCTGATCATGAGTTATAAATGGTTAAGGCCTCTGACTATACAATGGAATCTTCATGATCCCCTATGCATTTTGGAACGTTTTATTTTCCATTCAAATGGGGCAGATTTTATCATTGCACTATTGGATGCCTTTTCTTCACTTGACTTATGTAAGGGTCTGGATGGTGAAAGTGATGAGGCCATCAGCATGATATCTGACAACACTGCAAAACTGACATCTGCAGTTTCTTCCCTCCCTGAACTTCTTGAGAAGAAGCGGCTCATTGATCTTCATACCACTGTTGCAACAGGTTATTAGGACTCATTTTTATTGTCCCTTTCACAGTCATTGTTATTCTCAAGTCTATTCAAGTAGATTCAGACATGTAACTGGAGTGAGGTATGAGCTTCGGGCCTCTTGCATTTTGAAAATCTACCATCTCTGCTTTCACTTTACACATTGGCTGCCAAGTGCATACCTGGTGATACATTTTGCATGTAAAAAATTATGTTAGGCAATCAACATGTTGAGCTCTATGCTTCCCTCTCTCTAGTGAAGCAACAGGTTGCTTTGTGGTTTCAGTTGTTTTATTATACTACACTCTTTGCTCTATTTGCAGCTATCTTGGATGAGATCAAGGGGAGAAAGTTGGATGTGTACTTCGAGATAGAGGAGCGAGTGATGAGTAAGAGTGCCTTTGATCGTTCCCTAATGGAGTTGATCATGGACCCAGAGAAAGGTTCCCCTGAGGACAAACTTAGACTTTTCCTCATCGCATACATCTGCTGCCCTTCCATGACTGAGGTCAGGCTGTTTTTATCATAGTGTCAGCTTTTTTCACCTGTGTTGTCATCAACACAATTGGACTTAAATTTTTTAATGTTAACCATCCACTGCACCACTGATGCCTCTAACATCTGGGCTCCTATTGGTTTGTCTATCCTATGCTAACAGCTCTGTAGTGCTGCCGTCTTATACCAACATTTGAGAATACCATTAGTATGACCACTTAAGGTTCTTATGGTACATGTAATGTTTGAACATTTTGATTGAAAGCTTCCTGCGAGCAATGTTGACACTGAAATTCCTCATGCTGGCATGGCTGTGGCTGCAAGTCTTCATGTTTTAGCATATGCCGAAGTGGGTTTTAAAGGGAGGGAACCATTATATACAGAAAAGCCTTTGAAGGACCAAGGGATTGCACTAGAGGAAATCTGTTGCTTTCCTTTCACAAGTTCAGTTACTTTCTCTAGAATCTATAACCCAAGCACAATTATGTTGAACACCAAAATGCAATAGGTGAAAAAATGTCTGTTTTGGTTTAGGTTACTTGCATCTGATAGCCCTCATTCTGCCATGAGAGGGAACTTTTGCAGAACGTCCCTTTTCTGAGATTTCCCCAAGCTTTTGGCTTTGTTTCGGCTAATGCATTCAATGTTTTCTGGTTTTCTAGGTGGAATTTGACCAATATGCATCTGCTTTGGGAAATGCAGGCTGTGATATGAATGCCTTGAACTATGTCAAGAATTGGAAGTAAGTTACTTGCTTTTGGATACCTACTGCATTTTTTTTGTACCAATACTATGTTGGGGAAATTGTTCTGCCCCCTCAGTATTACCTACCATTCTGCTGCAGCATAACACTTGTCTCCTTATTGGATCCAACTAGATGGTGATGTAGCATATCTGGGACTCGACTGATATTTTTCCCCTAAAAGTACCTTCCAAGAAACAGTCAAGATGCCCTCATATTAATGTTTTTCAGGTAGTAATGGGGGTCAATTTAAATTCCTGGAAACTCGATATTTCTGTGAAACTCTTGAAAGGTCGCATGCTTTCAATTTCTAGTTATATGTTACATGAATGTTTAACCTTTTAGTATTTGACTTCATAGATCAAATCTCATGTTTTCATGGGAGTTAAAAGCCAGCCCTATGTATTATTATTATTAACACATCCACATTAATAAACATACTGGTATTTGCTTAATGCACACTGCAGGTCTACTGATCTGTCACGCTGTGCCTGGCTGCATCACCCAGTGAGTACTAGTACACAGTGTTCTCTAGGCACCCCACCAATCACTATAGCTAGACTGAAGAGGAAAGTTCTTTGTGTAGGATCTTGTTTAGCTTACAAGTCCATTGACTCACTATGTCTGGGGGAATTAAAAGAGGCCACAAAAGTAGACCAATGTGTCCTAGATGCTGTCAAGAGTTGATAAGAAATACTATATTTTCCCACCAATTTGTCTATTTTAAGTCTCATAAATCTTACTACAAGGGCTGTTCATTTAATTTTAAGATTTAATTCATAGTTCTGTTATGAGTTGTGCCATAGCAGTGGTTCTGCATAGAATGATGGCATATGAGCTTGAGATTTATCCGATCTAAGTATACTTTTTGATCATGATTGAAATATCATAATAACTCGATTATGATAAAAAACCATACTTATACCCACGTAACTGATAGCTCGATCATCATAACTCGATAGCTCTCCAGGACCCCTATAACTGATTGAAATTTGATACTTAGACCGAAATTGTAATTGAGAGTGACATCTAACTTTACCACTGACGAATTCAGTCATCTCTAGCCCTTTTCCTGGCCATCACAACCAAAAATCAGATGTCCAGATGGCTTTGTTCCTCACTTTCCCAGTTTCGAAAAATGCTTGGGTATGCTCTTCACCCCATATTCTAATGAGAGTTGTTGTTTGGTTGATTGAGATAAAATGCCTTACACAAGGCCTAGGACCATCACAACTCTCTTCCATCTTCCAATCGTTGTTCACAAGAAAGACATGAAGTCTCCATCTGTAATTGCTGTGCCATGTCTCCAAAAAGTGGAGGTGGTTAAGTTAGAAAGTTAGAAATATACAATGGAGCAACTGTCCACATGAAAAACACATGGGATTATTGAAGTTTGGTAAGGACTCATCTTTGATGACAGATGACAGTTGATGGGGACAGAACAGATGACCTATGGCAGTGTGATATCAATTATCATCGAAGTTATGATGATTGAGTTATGATATTTGGGTTCGATACTTAGACCCAGATCAAATTATCATGATTGAGTTATGATGGTATTTTGATCATGATCGAAAAGTATACTTAGACCTGGTAATTGGTGTCTGGATGCTGACTAACTTGTTGACCACAAAGATAGTTTTGCTAATTCTTTCCTGTAGTGCTGCATGATACACCAGCATGACATGTGGCAGTCAACTTGTTAGTAAATACTACCATGGAGTGTTGCTTAAGTGCTTTAACCCTTCAAGCTGGTAATTTTAAGCAGCCAAATATCCCCTGTGGCATGATTTAACTTTTCATTGTTTTTTCATTGTACAAATTCAGCTATTTTCATTGTCATTGGTTAGTATTGCAATGATGCAAAAGCTAATTGTGTTACCAGCATTTCCACTGTTTTAAGTGTTAATCTAAAATGTGGAATTTTTTGAAAATTTTAAGAATCAATAGCTTCTTTGTAATGAAATTACAGAATAGTACACGAGTAAAGCCTCATTTAGCAATGTCACAGCTTTCATTTGAGCCAAAACATTATTCTAGCTCAATTAAGGCCAATGATAGTTGTTTGACCATATAGTCACTTTTCCCCAGGGGGCTAAGTTTGGGGTTGAATATCTTGAGAACCACTTGTACTAGAGCACTGAAATTTCAGGTTTTTTTCATAGCTTGGGGAAGTCATCATGCATGAATTTTCTCAAGGAAATCCTTGTTGCATACCTAACAACCACCATTTGATCACTTGAGATGGAATGCCTCATTAGTGGTAGGAGTATACAGATTTAAAATTTTTTTACAGAATGTGAAAATATTAATTCTTTATAATTTTGTGCATCAGGAGCAGAGACATTGACTTTTCAATAGAAGCTTTTTGCAATATTATTTTTAGGGTTTCATCCTCAGTTCAAAAATGAAAATTTTTATTTTTATTTTTTACACCTGTATTTTTCACTCAAGTGACATCCTTAAGTTACTTTTGAATTCATCACATTATTTCCAGTGAATTGACACCTTCATGAAGACTCTAGGTTGAATCATTTTTCAGTTATGAGGATATCAAAATTAGAGGTTTGCAAGTGATCCTAAATTTTGACCATCCAGTAGCATTTGACCTACTGACCTCATGAGGCTGAAATTTGACATATCTGGGTTTTGAGGCAGGAGAACTCTGTATATTAAATTTCATCAAAATCAGAGATGATAGGGTTCTACTCATTGCTTGATTTGTGATGGAATCATACCATTAACTTGATATGTTTTGCAAAACTTTTAAGCAAGAAAGGTTTTTCTGGCCATAAAAAAAACTATGTATGCAAAGAATAGTATGAAGAGATAAATATTGTGTAGGAAAGGCCAGCTGAGAAATATATGCTGGCCTGGGAATTGGAATGGATGGTGAGATTTTAGGTCTGTTCTTACATGACAGGGCTTTCTCCAAGATGGCCACAATGCCTCAGTATGGAGGTGGAGGGACAAAGACAGTGGGAATGTTCTCTCGCCTTATGACCCAGGGCTCCCAATTTGTCATGGAAGGAGTGAAGAACCTTGTTGTGAAGAAGCATGTGAGTTATCTCTGCATTTCTCCTCCCTTCCCTTTTTTAATTACCATGTGCTGCAGTTAGCTTGATCCCTGGAAGCCTTCCTGGAACTTAAGTCAGTTTGGCCTAATAGGTAATATCATATGCCCCTGTGCTTTGATACAACTGATATTGTCCCAGTCATTTCATGTGTGGAGGTTTTCAGTTTCCTTCAGTAGTTCACATTTCTGAGTTCTCCATGCATAGGAAAAATGGAATGGATCCTGAAATGCTTGCATAGATAGCAAGTCTGATTTGGGAGGAAAGTGGGGCTACTTCTCAGCTTCTTTGTTGCAATGGAGACTGCTCTGACTAAAAGCAACCTTTATGCCAAGGGGCTACAAAATGGCCAGTGTATGAAAGAAATTGACTTCTTTCTGCTGTACTTTTATTTTCATGCAGTTTATGGAAAACTGTACTGTCCAGGTGAATCTTTTAGAGTTTGAGGAAATTTCCTTCATACATTTATTACAATACAATTTTATAGTTTATTGATTCACTGGAAATTTTGGATAAAATTTAATTGATTATCTGTAAAGATTGAAATTCATTTCTTGAACATTGTGTGGCGGAAAAATAGATCAATTGGCAGATATGAAGTGTATGTTCAGTCTCACCCAAGTGATGCCAAAGGAAGTCTGCATGTTACAGCCATGTATTAAGTTAAAAAAATATGCAACAATGGGCAAAAGAGAAAATGGTAGGTGACAGAGAAATTTTGAAAACTCTGGAGGGTATTAAATTGGTGTTCTCGAGATAGCTAGACTAGTGCTCTTGCATCTAAGCAAGGCCTATGGTTTCCTTGCTGTTCACTCCATATTGCACTTTATGGGCTTTTCTACCTCAGTATCACATAAAGCTTTTTCATGCCATTGTAAGATAGAATGGAACTAGAAGTCATAAAGGACACCAGGAATATCTTCTTTACAAGGGATATGAAGTTAGAACAACAGAGTGCAGATATCCCAAACCAACTTGAATCTGACTTCTTGAGTGGGAGGGAAAATCCTCTCTATGCCCTGGAATGTCCCATTTGCCCCTCAAGGAATTCATGCTTTCATGTAGGAGAGGCTGGAAAAAGGGAAAATAAGATGGGGTAAGTGATACAAATTCCAACCCCCTTAAGCTTAACTTCCATCACTTCACCTAAATTTGAAATTCATGGCTTTTGGATCTATGCCAGTTGAAAGGAAAATGCAAACACTGTCCATTCACATTCCAAAAGCAGGTACTGGTGTAATTTCTTTGAAAAGACTGCTTGGATTTCTTATGATGTTGAATAAAGTAAAGTGAGGGTTGAAATTTGCCTCACCTGCCCTACTAGACAATGAAGGCAAGCAAGCTTTCCATTTTTCCCTTAACATTGAAAGAACAACATTATTCAGAGATGACTTCTCTCTGTGATTCCTCCTCAAAGGATTTATTTCCCTGACAAGCATGGGAGAGGAGGTAGAAAAAAGAAGCAAGATAGTGAATATTAGGAGTCAATTTTGCAGTTTCTTTCTTCAGCAAAGAATGAATTTAGGATGGATCTAGAAATGACTTTCTCTTTATGATATACCTTGACTCCTGAAGAGTGTTCAAGAACCAAAACGTCCATGGCAACCATCAATTTCTGAATCCCTGAAAACCAAGAAGCTCTAAGGGCAGCCATGCAGCACAGCCTGATAAAAACCAAAATAAGAAAACCGCACAGTTATGGATTTTAAGAACCATTTGCTGGATTTTGAATAAAGATTTAGACATTTATTCATATAAGATCCAAGTTATTCAAGAGTTGCAAGAAAGAGATAAGGAATGACAAAAATCATCTGCAAAATCTCATGGAACTTTGCTTTAAAAAATTTCTGATCTGTGTAGAACTAATGCCAAAAACTTCATCAATGAGTGGGGAGCAAATTCATCTGAAAATTAGAGGAAGTTTGCTGTCACATTGCACACAATGTTACTGCCAAATAATCCACAAAAATTGTTTCTATTGTTGCCAAGAAATTTTAAAATTAACTTTGCATGTGCTTTTATTTACAAATAAAAACCGCCAACATCTCGTGCTCCACCTATATGATGTTTCATCCTCGTATTCCTTGATCCAATTTAAAAAAGGACTTTAAGGAGCAATGCTGAGAATTGGTGCTTCATCTGCCACTGAAAATAAGTCCCTTCTTTGATGTGCTTGAATAGAGAGATAGATTGCATATCAGCTAAAGCCTCAAATTCTTCCGTGTGACTTTTGTCATTCTCAGCTCCTTAAAATTTACTTCCTGTGAGAGTGGATGTTAAATTAATTCAGTCATGTTTGTAATTGCTGCAGAATCTCCCAGTGACGCGGATTGTGGATGCCCTGTTAGAGCAGAAGAATGGCCCTGAAGTGGAAGAATACCGATATTTTGATCCAAAGCTTCTTCGCTTCACTGATTCCAATTCCATACCCAGAGCCACAACTCCTTTCAGCGATGCCATTGTCTTTGTTGTCGGAGGAGGAAACTATATAGAATATCACAACCTTCTTGACTATGCCAAGGTGGGCTTATTTCCTTCTCTATTTGTATGTTATGTGTCTGATGATCAGCAGAAGACTAAATATATCCCTAAATATTGCCTAACCTCCTAATAAAAGAATTTATTCCAAGCATTCCACTCATCTGTACCAAACATTTTGTGGGAGCTCAAAGATAAAGTAAAGAAGTAAGGAAAGGTAGAGATGTTTCCTATTTGCTTGGTCTCATCTTGGCCAACTGCTCACCAAAGAGTATCAACTCCTTAGGCAGCATATTTTGCTTTTTAAAGATTTTTCCCTACCTGGCATAATATCTTTAATATTCATGAATGTTTTCAGACATATTCACCATGGATTCATGGTCCCAGATCTAGAAAACATCAAAAGTATATGCTTTCTAAATCATAAACACATTGATTTTTTTTGTTTCAACCTGAGGCTAATAAGAACTATACTATATTGTGCACATTAACATTTTAATAATCAATACAGAGCTTAGGAAGTGCCAGTGCACATGAATCCTCACACCAGGATGCAGGCATGCATTTTCTCTGATCTAATCTTAGATATTGCTAGGGAGCACTTTTAAGTTTTTACTCATGTCCTTCCTAATCCCTAAACAGTTCTGTTCTGAATGATGTTGAATTTCACCATTTACCCTGTCTACCAACAGTTCACTCACAAAAGCCTAAATTTCTGAGGAAATAAGATTCAATGCAAAATCTACACTGTAGAATGCATATGCATTGTGTTCCGAATTAGGCACTCAATGGGACACCTTCTTATGAAGAGACTGGAGGCTAGGTTCAGCTAGTATAAATATATTTTTTTTTATGGATCCCTACTAAGGAAACTTAGGTTTTATTTGTGTTGCAAGTACTTTTGAACTTGCTATAAGATGCCTACAGATGGAGAATGCCTTGGTCTTGAGAATTCTGTGGATTTGCATGTTTGTTGATAATTGAATTTGTTTGGAGTTGAATCCTATATTTGTACCTGGAAAAGGCTTGAGAAGTTCAGTGTGAGCCTATTCTATTTTTTTGTTATTTCTTGCATTTTTGTGCAAAAAGTGGCAGGCATATTCTAAGGTCTAAAGTAGGAGCTCTCAAGCACACATTTTCCAACCATGGCCACTCCCGTCCTTGAAGGAATAATTTTTTCTAAATGGAACCTGCAGGTGGCAGCTTACAATGAACAAACAAGAAGGGTTGAGACATAGCTCAATATTAGATCTATTCCATTGGATAGGCTTTGAGTCTTGGCCTATGGACAAAACAGTGACTAAACATGCACTTATTCACATTTTTTTTAAATGAAGCATCTGATATTGATAAGCCTAGCTGGGGTGCAGCCTCTCAATCATCTTTCATGGTTGAAATGACCTCACTGATAATCACCATATTGACTTTTTTCTGATGACTCTCATTGGTTATTCGGAAGAAGATTGCAGCTGCCAAAATTATTTTTAAATGGCAAACATCTACTGGCCGGAGCTTTACTCTTTGGTTCACTTCTTGGGTTTTGAAGTTCATTCAATTCAGGGGAAACACTGAAAAGGGAAAGACTGAAAACCCAACAGCAACAAAGCAAACCTGATTTTACTGCAGTAGAGATGGGAGTGGTCACAACGTGTTTGATAGCCACTTGACACTGTCTGATGTATCTGCTGGGTGAAAGCTTCCTCTCCACTCGACTTTTTGTGCACCAGTAGGAAAGGATGGTTGTTGGTACATCAACTAGGGGCAGCTCAATTGCCCCCTATTCACTGATGCCCTGAGTGTCACCCTAAATGCATTTGTCAGCCACCTCCTGCAAGTAACCAAGGTAACCAGTGACAAGGTATTTGAGAAAGAGGTGCAAAAGGAGCTAAAACAGTTCCTGCTCAGTACCAATGACTGTGACCCACCCCATGCCTTCACTGCATCACAGTTTGAGGTTCCCCTCTGCCTGATAAAGTCAAGTACTGCTCCAGGTATCAATAACATCCCACCAGAATTTCTGAAGCTCCTTGGCCCCCAGGCACAGAGTTGGCTAGCTAGGTTCTTCACCTGGGTGCTGTGTTAAAATGGGATGCCAAAGATCTGGCACCAGGAGGAGGTGATTGCTTTTCCAAAGCCTGGAAAAGACCCATGCTGTGCCCTGAGCTATTGACTGCTCTCTTTGCCCAGCATCTACTATAAGTTGCTGGAACAGCTAATCCTCCAAAAAAATCATACCAATAGTGGACACCCAGTTGGGTGTTGATCTGGCTGGCTTTTGCCATGGCCTTAGCACCTGCAATCAGGTGCTGCCTTGTCCACCTCCATTGAGAATGGGTTTCAGCTTCAATTGAAGACAGATGCTGTTTTCCTTGACCTGACAGCAGCTTATGATACCATCTGGCACATTGGCTTGTTGACCAAACTGTCAAGGATACTACCACACTGGGTGCTCAACTCAGTGGAGCAACTGCTCTGCAACCATCAATTTCAAGTTTGCATGGGGACCATGTCAGCTCCTGGAGGCTGCAACACAATGGTCTACCCGAGGCTCAGTTCTCGCCCCTACTCTCTTCAACATTGTTATCAAAGACTCACCACTGATGAAATCTTGGAAGTCCATCATGTTGACAACATCTGCCTTGGGTTCCAATCACATGACTTCTCCAACCTAGAAGTCACCTTGAACAAAGACCTGGCTTATGTTGCTAGCTACTGCCAATAATGGAGATTGCAACCAAGTGTGACCAAGATGGTGTCCAGCATGTTCCACCTGTACCGTGCATCCACCAGACGTGAGCTTGCTGTGAGCTTAAATGGCCAACAACTGCAACATGATCCAAATCCAGTGTACCTTCAGTGTACCTTTTGGACATGGATGTTGTTCGCTAATGACCACTGATGGGGACTACATGATAACCCACTATGCTAATGTGGTGAACCCCAAAAAATGCTGCTTACAGTTGATGACTGCCCCCTGACTTGTATCCATGGTGGTCTCCATACTCTGCACGTTGTTGGTGCTTATGCCATCACATGGCTTAACAGGCATGCCCTGGGCCCATTTACCAACCATCCCTCTTGAATTTATATTTAGTCTAGGTTGGCATAAGCATCCAAAGAATATAAAAAATGGTTTTCTCCTCATCTATATGTTATTTTAGTCCTAGTTTGCTCTCATTTGAATCACCAGAGCTCGCGTATCACCTTATGTTTTTGGTTGTATATGCAAGCACAGTTACTTCTATTAATTTTCATTCTAATACAGTTTGAGTAGGTGTACAAGTTGACTCTCCTTCTTGCAGAGCAAAACAGGATCAAGCCAGAAGAAGCTCATTTATGGGACTACCCAACTGATAAATGCTTCTCAATTCCTTCGCCAGGTAACTTGAGCTTTATCCGAATCCACATCTCGGGAGATATTTGAGATTGCAGGTCAAGAAAATGCCTATTTTTTCTTTATTTATGCCTTTTTAGATGTACAAATAATTATGGAATTGGTTGATGTAGCTGGAGTTTCTTAATAATTAAATCATTTGCAAACCGTATTTCTGTCAATTTCTCAATTTTTTGGTGCTAGATTCACAAAATGTTCACATGTAAGTTTGTAATTCCTTTCCAAGAAACTGTCGATCTTCTTTGAAACAATAATTATCCAGAAATTCATTGTCATTGTCTCCCATGCCACGTAGAATAACATTTTAAACAGAATTTCATGTTCAACTTTCATGTTAGTGCAATGACCATTTCACGTTTAAAGATTCATGTTAATGGGAGAGGGAAAATGCACGGAGGTAAGGCCAGGTGGATGGAGATGAATAGAAAATGATATTTGTAGAATGGTTGTTTCCATGCAGGTATCGAAGTTAGGACAGGGCGAATGAAGGAGGACTAACTGGAAGATTCCGTACCATATATGTGGGACGGTGAAGGTGTTGGTACCAGGAAATCCATTCATACCTGCAAATCCTTATTCCCACGCTGTATATGGGAGACAAAAATAAGGGACAAAGCTCTATATAGAAATAATAAAAATAATGATAAAATAAAGTCCATTTTCCTGCTTGCTTCCCTCTTTCCTTGTGGTTCCTCCTCCTCTCCTTCTACGTGGAAAGTTGCAGTCTCGCGAGAGAAGAACGAAATACATGAACCAAATGTTACATACTCCAATTTAAAGTTAAATAAGATCGGTAGAGAAGCAGCGGACGGAACGAACCATTCCATCTTCCCTTGATCGCCCTGTCAAAATTCTGAGTCCGTCATGTACTTTGTTTACTGATTACAAGGAGATGAAAGCTATCCTATGGAAAAGAATATGCCGTGATCATGGTACGTAATTTTGAGCTATGAAAAGGTTATATCTACTCCGAAAGCACGGAGGAGGGCTTATTTCTTTCTTTTTTTTTTTTTTTACTGAATGGAATTCAGGCAAAAGTCTTTCTTTGAAGTGTTCACATGCTCAGAATTTAAATCACGAACCGACGAAATTGCAGAACTACGTTTCATTCAGATCCAGACTTTTCAAACCCTACTGGATAATGTTGGTGAGTAAAAGCAGATGTTATATGAGGGTACAACAACTCCTCCAGAGATTCATAGAAACTTTATCGTCGGCAAGAGTTCCCTTAACTTGTATGTTCCATTCTCACTCGACCCGGAGATTGATACCTGATTTCCCATCGGATTCCTGTCTTCGTCAACAAAAGGACCATCTTAGTAACGTCAACTGCCAACAACCGGAGGCTGCTGATGCTCATTTCTCCTCAAGAAAAATTTGAGGATCTCCTCTGCTTCTTTCACTATATCTCATAGCACTGTGTTCCTGTGAATGGGACGTGTCATCGGAAAATTTGTCTCATATGAGGGTTCCTCTGAAAGTTATGAGAATTATTGCCACAGTTCTGTCTACGTCCTATACTGAGAGTTGTTTACTCTTTAACCCTATCAGTACCATGGGGTCCATAATGTCCCCAAGCATTATTTGATAATGCTATGTCTTCGCTCTAAAACAGACTGGATGTCTCACTCCTTGACTTTGTTCCTTTCAGGAGCTAGTATGCATACATAATTTGAGACGGTCTGGTACCATATCTGAGAAAAATATTCTTGACTAGCGTAGAGTAATTCACTGGTGACCCCAGTATGAAAAGGGGTAGAATTCTGTTATTTTCTGCTCAGCTGGAAGGTCAAATTTACTATGAAACTCATGAGCAGTAGAAATAAGTGAACCTGTAAACTTGATGTTTTGCTTATCTTGAGACCTGAATCGTCTGGAACTTGCTAGTATGAGACGATCTCGGATCAGATATTCTAGCATCTTTTTAAGGATATTTTTGCGTTTTCCGGTCTAGAATATTCCATTGTGTCATATACACATTATATGGTTAGCGTTACAGATGATAGTTCGTGTCACGCATCAATTGCTGCTAAAGTGTTCCTCATTGCAAAATAATGTTTGCGTTCATACTTTCTTCATTCTTCCGGGCTGCTTAAATTACATATGTCAATCACAGCCAACCCCAAAGAGAGTTTCAGAGACCGTTAGCATTGTCAAACAACTCATCCAGAAAGAATATCCACCGATGCAATGAAGTTTTGCAAACACGTACACCTCTTGCACGTAAGCCCTACTGCAATAAATAAAATAGTTACCTGAGACTGGAAAAGAAGCAAAAGCCATATTTTGATATTTCTTCACTTGCATTCCTATTTTTTCTTTAACTATTCATGCCATTTGCACTCTTTGGATCATTTGCACTTTTAATACTAATTAATCATTTTAATTTTGCCCTTAAGTTAAATATTTGGCGGAACTCGATACTTTTGAATTTGTCTTTAATTTATATATATTACGTATTTGTACTTTTCATGTTTTAAATTGTTTGTGCTTTTAATACTAACTGTACTCAAGCAATGAAAGTACCAGCAATACAGTATTTAAATTATCGAAATTTTTTAATTCAATACTTTTAATATTTTCAAACTTTTACATATTTATTATGCTTTGTACTTTTCCTACAATGTATACTATTCGCTGTCATTTATGCTTGTATGGCTTTAGCACTTTGTATACTGTAAATATTTTATTGTTGATGCTGTAGTATCCAGACAGAGAGGCTCTAAAACATATTCTCTTCAGGGTATTCCGAAAGTTTCTAACCCACCCACACAAAATGTGGGTAAATGCTGTGCCAGCTACTGTGAAAAACATATTGGCTTATCTGCACGGGATACATGAAGATCGGGGCGATCTACTCAGACCAACAAAAAAGTCTGTTTTTGCAGGACGGAACCCCGTACTACACGGTTGGCTTCGCGTTCCGCGCAATCAAAGAGACTAGGGTACGGGTCTAGAAGAAGCCATCATGGAACTGTCCGGACCGCAACATCCGGAACACCTGTGGTCTAGGTTTCAAGGGAGTGCTCTGCGTAAGCTCCACCACTTAAATCGGGCGTCAGTCATTACCAGGGTTCTAAGCGAAATGAGAAACCACCGCGACGAGTGTCATCCGTCGGTTGGTTGAGAGCTTCGGAACAGTGTCCGACGTTCCTGCAGGTCTATGGAAGTCATATCTAGTGATGCAAGAGTTGGTACCTTGGTTATTCTTTGCCATGTATCACATATTTAAAACAATATTGTATCGTTCCCTCGTCTCCAACTTCATTCTTGTGGGTTAGAAATTTTCGGAACACCCTGTATATACCTGTATGCAACCACGGGAACCCTCTGCCAGGCATCCTGAAACTATTATAAAATCAAGCTCTATCTAATATTCCTGGCATGTTAGGTTGACCGCAGAAACAGGTTGTAATAGCTCTAGGCTGACCGTACACCCCGTGACGAAACCGGTCGAACAGCGTAAAAAATCTGGTCTAGAGCTTCGCTTTCTTTTCCTTTATAGCAGTGGTGCCCAACCCGCGGCCCGCGGGTAAAAAGTGGCCCGCGAAGCCCTAACCCACAATAAATACCCTTAGGTTTCCTTAAAATAGTCTCCTTCAATACTGATGACTGGCCCGCGATGGCTGCGGCAGTGAGCTATGTGGCCCTTTAGCCAAAAAGGTTGGGCACCACTGCTTTATAGCCTTCTGCCCTTGCTTACCTGGCATTTTACAATAGGCAAGGTGGTTACAATAGACAAACGCCTACCAAATTTCATCAGAATCGGTGAATTACTATCAATCAGATTGACAATTGGCCAAAAATGAGAGCTTTGCTTTTTTTTTGCCCACCCCATTCATTCTCTTTTAGCATCATAAGTTAATATTCCCTATACATTAACTACCAAATTTCGCATCAACTTCTTCGAAAACGTTTAACTTGCGTTCAAAGAAGTTTCAGACCGTCCAGTGTTGACGGATAAGAAATTTTTGGGCGCTCATTTAAGGTGCCGTTCGATCTCCAATTCTTCATGACGTTTCTAGAGGACAATAGTTGAACTTTAAAGATACTTTTTTTTAAACAAATCTGTGTTACTTGGTCGGGGGGAGCGGGCTAGCCATCTGGCAGTGGCTCGAGCAAACGAAGGTTCGCACAACCGAAGCGAGATGACGCCAAAATGTCCCTATAATACCTGATACAATTGGAATTAGTCCTCAATACAGCGCTTCCCAAATTTTTCATGTTTGCCCCCCCCGCCCCCTCCCCAGACGATCCTGGTTTAGCGTCATATCCCCCTAGCGACTCAAGCTTAGCGTTGCGCCCCCTTCTGAGAGGAGTAGCAGGGAATGGAGTCTACTCCAAATATACTTCATACGATGGTTGAAGAACATATAAGATACAGGATTGCAACAGTTCAAGGACCGGATCACTACTAGGAATTGAGTGATCACACACCAGATTTAATAAGAATGATGCCCACATGCTTCTGGGCCCATAAATAAATCTGAAATGAACTATTGCAATGGCGGTGCAAAGCCTTTTTCAACGTCCAGACGACACCGTATATTCACACTGGTAAGATGAGGCATTCGGGAGGAGAATTTTCAAAGATCTGACAGACATGCTCGTAACTCCTGTCGAAATTCGTCACAGATTTCAAGGGAATGGACGGATGAGAACGAGACCTTCATTTTATTGGGTTTGTGGGAAAGTTCTGTCGTTTTTGTTTATGTACAATTGGACTCATCTCCCAAACACGAATACGACTAGTGATGACATCCTTTCATACTCTAATCCACGAAGATAAAAACAAAAACAATCGATGATTCATCACTAGCCGTACTCGTATTTGGGAGATAAGTACAATTGTACAAAAGCAAAAACGACAGAACTTTCCCACAAACCCATTTTCTAGTATTCGGACATTTTTCTCTGCCCGAGGAACCCAGCTCTTATGCGCCTTCGAGTCTCATTAATGTTTGGAGTGCGCCAGTGCATCAACCATAGACGCCGAACCTAGGGGGGCAAAGGGGCACGTGTCCCCCTAACTCTTATTATTGAGCGGGCAACCCCCCGAAGAATGGCCAAATTTCTACAAAAGTATGGCACATGAAAAACTGAAAACAAAATGCTGCTTCACGAAAGAAATGAAAATATGATTTTTCTTTCTGTTTAGAGCTCCAACTTTGGGGAGATCCTTGTGTCACCCCGTTAGGGTATGGGGTGGAAGGGCTATACCCAGCATCTCCCCCCCCCCCCCCCACCCCCCCCAATTTTTTAGAAGTCGGCGCCTATGGCATCAGCACTAGGGTGAGTTTTACAGCCCAAAGAGACGCACGATCCATCTGTTGTCTTGATTCGGATCGTGGGAAACCGCTCGTGGAAATTAGCACCCGTTCAATAAGAATCCAATTCCAGAGTCTGCGTTTGAGGATTGACTTTTTCTCCTGGAGAAAGAGCCAGAAAGACCGGAAGGAACGTGGACAATTTACAGTAAAAAGAAGCATAAAATAATACCTATAAGACAGTTTTTCATATTGCACATTTTAAGAAATTAACAAAAAATATTTCTATTGAATTATGATAAATTATTTTTGAGTCATACCTTTATGGACACCCTGTGGTTTCCGTCGTCTGAATCTGGTCAACATGAGTAACTACCAGGTGGTTTCTTCACCTGGTATCCCTTTACAACCTCATAACAACATTCTATATTAAATATTAGCAGTGTTATTATAAACAACCTTGCAATGGCCGCGCCTTCGACGCTATATGTTGTAAATAAATATATGAAGTTATTTGAATCATGGGCATTCGGCGCTCACAACGCACACGCACACATACACATATATACACATATTCTCGTATGTGTATGTTAGGGCTGTACCGATTGCCACACTTAGCTGGTGAGCCATTAGTTGATTTTCGTGTCATACCTATAGACCGGTGCCGGTGCCGGAGCCAATTATGGTCAGGAGATTGAAATGAAAGTAACATGAAATCGCACACTACTTCAAATAGGCCTATTTGGAAACCAAGTGGTATTTATCAGTGGGCCTTTACCCGTACTTGGCGCAACGAAAAGCCACATGGGTCACTTCAAATCAACACAGCCATTTACCTGACCCCTAAGATTTCCATGAAATTTGCTGAGCTTGTAGGAGCTATTGACAAACCATAAAATGCCAATTTGCAGCTTTCTACGTCAAGTACTTTTAGAGATGTAAAAATTTGAAAGTAGCAAAAAGTGACCAGTTTTGGGTCATCATCACTTAAGCTCAAAAGTTTCCCAAGCAGCATGTTTATGTAAACAAGATGTCAATTTTTTGCGAACAATTTCAATTTCTTGCGATTGTCATGCAAATGATCACATTCATATATTTACGTTCCTATATTTCCATCACCAAAGCGTATGTGTACTTCATACAAATTGAACTTGACTTCACCTGATTTTAAAGTACATGATTTAAAGTTTACACAAAATCAACATCATAGGAAATTTTAGACAAGAAAAGTTTTACGAAAATGAATTAGTTCTCCCTAAGGAACATGTTGAGCATCACCTCGACAACAACATGTACATACCCATGTAGCACAAAGAGCCATAGGCGGTCCAGGCATTATAATGGCGGATTTCTACCGCAGGCGGGAACGTGGCGGTAAGTGGAACATGTAGTTGCTGACCTGCTACCTAGTGTCGGTGGAGAGCCACCAGCTGTTTTCCCATAATGTAACTGACTCTCCCACAGTTGCAGTACCAAGAATCCTCACTAGATGAAACCCATGTTTCCTGTACCCTACAAATGCAATTAAGAACCTACCTTCCCGATTTAATATAAGGTTTTCCTCCCCTCTTTCCTCTTTTTATTGTGCAATTTATAAACTGATATGAGGAAAGCGCGGAATTGATATTTTTATTGCAATATATGACTTAAAGAATTATTAAGTGCTGATGTTAAGTGTGGGAATATTGAATTGTACCGGAATAAGAAAGGGTAGAATGCCTAAGTTCTCACGTATCATACAAATAAATCTGTTGTGTAAGATGTAAAATAATACGTATAGAGACCTGTTCAAGCCTTCAGGGTTTCATATTGGGTGCGGAAGAGAGGAGCAGCGCGTCATCTTGGGATTCTTGTGTACTCCTTTGAATATATATACTAGAGCTCCAAAATTTGAAGGCGAATCGGATATGCACGACAGCATCAATTCCCTTGGAAGCTGGTGGTTTACTTGTGAAAATTCGCATAAATGTTGATAACATGGACAAAAAACTAACATCAATGTTACATAATACAGTAAAAACTCGTTTTCTCGAATCCTGATTGGTCGAAATTCCGTTTAGTCGAAATTCCGCTTATCTCGAAGTTCAATGCCTGGTCCCGGCCGAATCTCGTAAGGCACTATGTTAAATATTCCGTTTAACTTGAATTCGCTTATCTCTAACTTCCGGATATCTCGAACGACATTCTCACTCCCGATTGCAATTTTTTCATGGTTAACTCGAAATCGGGGTGTGAAGGTGGGGGTGGGGGGGAATTATTGTGGGACCTATGGATTTGTTGAATAGGTGAAAGGAAAGACACCTGTTGGGGAGAAAATCCTTTTGTTTTTTTTTCTGCCTCTCCTTCTTCCCTCACAGATGCCTGTGGAGAGGATTAAACCTGAGGATTAAAACCGAAAAGCTTCTGCTATAAGAAGAAGGAACCTCTAGCACTTTCCCTGTCTGTCTGTTGCTCTCACTTTCGGCCATTCCAGTAATATTTGGTTTCCGGAGTACCGGATGAAGGGCGTTGTGATGAATGAATTTTGCACATGGAGTAGTAAAGTTTCCCTAGACATGAATAAAAGCTAATTATAATAAAAAGATCGTCGCTCCTCGAAATCGGTTTCTTGAGGACGGAAAAATCGCCCTATTATATCCCTTAAAGTGAGTAATTTTTTTTTACGAGTAGAGGCAATT